GGCCGGGCCAGCCGGCGTGCGGCTCCGCAGGCCACGCACGGGGCAACGGAGCAAAGAGGCTCCCTCCTTGGCACGAAATATCATCTGTCCCGTGCAAGGGGCACCCGGGGAGCAGCCGGGTCTGGAGAGAATCGCCCAGGGCTCTGCTGGCGCCAGCAGCCCCGTGTCGTGCGCTAAGGAGCAGCGGGGACGCTCGGGTGGCAGCAGCCCCAAGGCCTCTCCAGAGGCAGGGAGCGCAGGCCGTGCCCTGCGGGAAGCAGATCCATGGACATACACGAATGGCACCGCGCGGGGCTGCCCGTTTTCACAGCGGGGAGGCCCGTTACGTCCAGCAGATGAGTCCGTTTGCTCCGAACGGGGGAGATGGTGCGTGGGGAGCCCTCCCTGCACCGCAAAGCCCCGCTGCGCCCACGGCCACGGCGCTCCCGTTGCCTCCTGCACCCTCCTCAATCCAAGGGTTTCCTCTCCAAGGAGTCCCTTATTCCCAAACTCCGCAGCCCAGCGAGCTGCAGCCACAGGCTTCCCTTCCCCCTTTCCACCCTACGGCATTAGCTGCCCCGTGTAATCCCAAGGCTAAAGGAGCTGGAGGTGCTGGCAGGACACGCTGAGCGGCTCCGTGCGGAGCTGCTGCAGGACAGAGGAATTAGCAAGTTTTATTCCCAATGGCCATAAATAAGAACCAGAGAACACGGCAGGACGCCCCAGCCTGCCCTCTCCTCCCCAGCCAGGAGGGCTGCTCCTGCTCCAGGAGGGATTTCCAGGCTGGCTTCAAAGCCCGGGACACCCTCCTTTCCCTTCGGAGCCAGCAGTCGGGAAGCGAACGCGCTGCTGCAACGCGGCTCCTGCTGCCATTCCTCCAAAGATGTCCCTGCAAACTCCTGCTGCTTCCTCCTCGCCTTTGCGGAAAGCTGCTTGCAAGGCAGTGCTTTAAAATACTTTTTTTTTTTCCTGAAAATGCTAACATTGCACCCAAATCAGCCTGGTTTTAAGGCATCCTCTGCACAGGGCCAAGCGACGGAGGCAGCTCCCTGTTAGCCCAGGGCCTCCCGGGGAGCGGAGAGGCACCGGGCCAAGCCCCGGCCTCCACACGAGCGTCCTGCGCAGGGAATCACTGACCGGAGTGCGCCAAGACGGCGCCCGAGCGCCCCGGGTGACACGGGGACGCAGGGCCCGGGGTGACTGCGGCTGCCCCGAGCAGAGCGTCCCGTCCGCGGCACTAACGGAGCCGTCCGGAGGCCCAGGGAGCCGCCTGCTCCTCGGAGCAGGGCACCTGGAGGGGCTTCCCGCATCCCGAGCGCTCTCCGCGCGGCCGAGGACGGCGGAGCGGACGGGACGAGCGGGTCTCCGCTTCCTCCGACCCCCTCGTCGGCCTCCACTGGAGCTCTCCTCCGGCTGCCACCTGCTCAACCAGCTCTGGCATCCGAGCGCCTCTCGGCTCCGCTTGGGATCCAGCTGTGGCTTAAAGCAATGGGATCCAGAGTCCATCCCCACCCCGGGGAGGTTTCCCGGTCCTACCTGCACGATGTCCAGCACCATTCCAGCAGCAACGGTCCCAAAGCCGGCCAGGAGGAAAGGGAAGAGGACCTGGAGGCCGATGGAGAAGGAAGTCTCTTTGAGCGGCGAGGCGGGCTCGGGGCCCCGGTCCGTGCTGGTGTCGTCGCTCTCGTTGCTCTGGCTGCCGTTCTCCAGCAGGGCGTCCTCATACCGCACGCCCTTGGCGTTGGCGCGGG